TATATATATATATATATATATATATATATATATATATATATATATATATATATATACCTTTAAAAATATGTACTTAATTCAATTAATTTCTATGTAAAAGTGCTGAAAGGCTGTCTTCTTTAAAGCCACAGTTAAAAACTGCCTTTTACTGTTGAAGTTTAACTGTTAACTGAGGTATCATTAACTTAAGTTAATGGTCCAGATGTTTTGTTTTACTACCTGTTTTTATTCTTCTATGTTATTGGTTAATTCATGTAAAGAGGATTCTGAATTGTTGTACTGAATTGTGCTGCACAAAAGAACTTGCCTTGCTTTTACCCTGCAATTACCCTTCTTTTCCTTATATCAGTTTGTCTGCTACTATTCTAATGGTTACTATAGGCTAAAATTAGCTGTGATGTGATATCAGGTGAATGCCTGATATTTCAAATGCTGAATTAGCCCAAGATTCAAACTGTATGATAAAAAGGTTTACAATTCCAAGATTGTTTTTAAAGGATACCCTCTTTCTTTCACTTGCTTTAATTCATCGTTTAGTACTTTCTATTTTTAGGCACAGTTGCAACTTCAGCCATGACATGTCCGCTGGCACGGAGGCATGACACAGGCTGTCACATGTGGTCATGAAAAGGATGAAGAGGCCTGCTTTCAATAGATGTTTCTGCTTTGAGATCTCCCTATCTGCCAAGTAGTGTGGAAAAAAAATCCTGGAACACAAACTGGGACAAGGCTTCCGTGTCACTGCGCAAGCTTTATGCCATCTTTAGTTTCCAGAGTATTCAGAGACTGCTGTTAACTCAGTATCAATAAAAAGGAATATGGACAAAAGGGAGGAAGACAACTGTAATTTGCTGTTTTTCTATCAAGACCCACGTCATCCCCCCCTTTGTTTCTGCTCCAATCATTTTCTAAAAGCTCAGGTCAGATGATTCTAAAGTGGAAAAGAACTTCATTTTTCTTGGGTGGTGCCTTTATCTCTTTGCCATTTGCTTTGTCATCGATTCATTTAGCATACATTACACTTTTTTTCTTTTTATCCCAGAAGCATTGTAAAAAACAAACAAAAAACTTGCATACACCCTAAGAACACTTCCCTTTTCAAACATTACTGATAGTCGTATTTAAATGGAAACAACAGGATCAAAACAAGAATTGTACAAAAAAGGCTATTTAAAATTATTAGTAAAGTTAATGTATCATAAATCATTCTGTTTTAGTCACAGATGGTGTTTCATCTGTAGGGCCAGATTTCAGCACATGAAATACTATTAATAATTTCTACATCCAATCCTCAGAAGTGCGAGTACAATGCCAGTAACAGCCCTTGCACTTTCTCTATGTTTGCACTCACTCCTCCTCCATCTATTTGAAACGTGTGTCTATTCAGACAGGCACCATTTAGCTCTTTGTTGTTGCTGCTTTGGCTGCACGCTTGCCATCAGCCTGGATTGAAACAGACAACAGCAGCACCTCTAAATGATGATGATGTTTCTCTTTGGGGCTGCTTTCCCCAACCTGTGAATGAAGTGTGCTCTAGATTTCCAATTAAAACATTTAATTTTGCTCATCAATTTGCTTTAGAATTAGTTTCATTCTAAACACATTTGAATAGATTCAGAGAGGGTTTTCGAGGTGATTAAACTTGTATTTAGATACAACAGGAGTTTTATTTCCTCTAAAATTATTGAGCAGCCTGTAAGAATGACTGGGGCCTGCTGATCCACAGAAAGAAGATCTCTGGGCCACATCCTCTGCTCCCTGGGGGTTCATCTGGTCACAAAAACAAAGCTGAGAGAACACTCATGGGGGGAGTAATAAAAAGAGAACAATGTGAACAGAAAGAGGGGGAAAGGTGAGAGACAAGAGACAATTATGTCTGTCAATGACAGAAGACTGGAGCATCTGGGCTGAACAATGGGTGTGAAAGTCAACACACGTCAGATCAGCTTTTTACACTTATCTAAAGCCATCCTGGTGTAAATACACCAATAATATGAGAATCTGCCACAGAGAAGTGCCAGTCTACCTAATTGCTCCTTCTCTGGTGGAAATTACAACTTAACACTTCCAATCCGCAGGCAAACCTGCTAATTGGAGGCAACTAGAGACACTTAAACTTATTTAAAAGGTTAATGAAAATGAGTTAAAAAAATATTTTTTTAAATAACTTCTGCCACAATAAAGAAGCAATTATTTGTCAGTTCCAAACCGGTCCATGTGAAGCATGTGTGCTCCTGACCATCTGATCACAGCTATTTGCTGCTTCAGGCTCCACATAGATTTATCACATGGCAGCACAGCCTGCCTCACATAAAAAGCTGTCTTTGTGGGAGCTAAACAAACAGCGACTCTCTAATTTAAGGCAAATACCCACCATAATAGAAACATTCCATGCTTGATGTGTCAAAAGTGGTGCTGCAGTGACCCCAAGTGGTAGATTTTAAAACTGCACCGCATATACGTGAAACAGCTGCTTTTATGCAGCCTCAGCTGTGGCTGGATTTGGAAAATAACTCAATATGATCCCTTCCAGCTGTCAGTGGGACATAGTTGATTATTCATATGGCAGATTTTAGTAGCTGCTGCTGATCGGTTTGACAGATGTGAATATTAGATTTCACATTTATGGGATTTTTTATTTTTACATTTTTATAACAATAACAAAATATTTCAAAGATCAAAACAAAGGATCTTTTTTAATATATTAAAATACATTTTTTTGTCTGCTTTTCTACCTTTAAAAAGGTCCATGGTGACTGACCTCCTTCAGAAGCATCTCATAGAGCGCTATGCAATACGTCATGTAAAAGCGTGTACTCTTTCTTGTAAGCTTCCTAAATAAAAAAGGTAACCATCAGAGAAGGGACTTTGGAGGAGCTGCAGAGATCTCCTACGTCGGTCCTATTGTTATTTCTAGTCATGAAGTCCTCAGATTTATGCCTAATGGAAGGGAAGTGACCAAGAGTCCACTTTGAAAGAAAAGCATCAGAATTCTCATTGCCACAAGACCTGCTGGAGAAACAGCAAACATGTTCAGGATAGGTGGCTCCATTCAACTGAGAATGAAACTGAACTTTTTGGTCAACATGTTTTGAAGGAAGAGTAATAAAAACAAATGCTTACTAAAAGATATATTTAGGATTTCTAAATATATTTCGACCACACTATTCCCTTCCCCATATTCATAGCGACAATATAAATGCTGCTTTTGATATGTATTGATTTGTCAGATTAAACTGTGCTTAATGAACATTAACCTAAAAGGTAGACAAAAAGTAAAAGCAGAAGAAATATGTCCTCAAGGTGTCAAACCTCTAAAATTACACTGCAAAAACGATCAAGAAATTAAAAAAACAAATAAATTAATTGTATTTACCCTTAATTTGAATAGCTAAAAAAGATTATTTCCAAATTGAATTAGTATTTTTACTCTTACAATAAGATAATTAGATAATATGCACTTAAACTAAGACAATGAAACAGTTTTTTCCTATTTTAAATGTAAATTGTTATTTTACATTGACAAAGTCTTACTTACCTCCTCAATTTAAGAAAAAATACATTAAAAAAAAGGATTTATTTATTTATAAATATATATATATATATATATATATATATATATATATATATATATATATATATATATATTGTTGCATTGTATCTTCTTACTTTTGTTGAATGAGAACTGATTTGTGTTTCCAATAAAATATAGTTTTATCCAAACCATTTTTTGGCCCTGAAAATCCCTGCACTTTTAATTAGTTGAAAAGCCTGTCTCTGTAACTTGGATGAAAAAAAAAAAATAAAAACCAGGAGGACCCATAGGTCAAACTTTATTTGATCTGTAGGCGCATCTCCAGACGGAGGGGAGGAAGGGAAGTAAAGATGGCGGGGGAGGAGAAAGATTTAAGTGACAGCAGAAAAAAATAAAGGAGGGGTGAGGAGAGAAGAGGATGTAGGTTCTTTTGTTCCTTATGTGTAATGTGATCATGTCCTGGAGCCCACTTGGACAGCTGGGAACCCCCGCCCTTCTGGCTTCCAGCTGGGAACACTCAGACATCACACCAGAGCTGCAGGACATACATCCCCCTGGTTAACCCTTCAGCTGCTCCTGCTGGGGTTCAGCTATAAATAACAACACTCAAACCAACTGGAACTTAGTCACATTTATTGATTTCAACCAGTATGACTCCCCTTACACAGTCACCCCAACTCTCAGCTAGAAAACAAACACTTTTACAGAATTAATTCAGCAGTAATACCTCAAACTCAATTCATT